AAAACAGAAATAAATCTAGGCCAGTGCCAATATTCTTCAGCATTTAGAGTCTTACCCTTCCTCTCTACCAAATGTACTTCCTTTTCTCCTCTCAGAAACCAGCTCTCTGGCAAGAGAAGTGCATGTGCTCCTCAAAGGAGAGGTGAGAGCCTTGCTCTTCTCTTCATGGTGGTGCATTTGCCTGTCAGCTCATTCTAATCTGTCATTTACAAATCTGCTTCTGATTTGAAGAGGAAGGCATAGACCAAAACTGAGACTTGGGGAATGTGGGTGTTTAATTTGGCAAAGAGGAAGAGTTGTTCAGCAGCTGTACTCAGAGATGCTTCCTCAGGTGTCTTAGTTTGTTTAGACCAACACTCTTATTTATACTTATTTATTAATCAAGAGGCCTGACAAGCTGCTGCAAATAAAGCTGCTGCTGATTCAGTAGTTTGGTGGGAGAGTCATCTGAGGATTAGAGTCTATAAACAACCTTTATGAAAAGATAAATTTTTTTGTCAATTAATTGGCCTGGAGAATTTTGTCATTTCAATCTGTCATTGTTGAATTTTACTTTACTGCAATATTTTGAAATTAAGTGAAAAAGGAAAAGTGTCTGTCTAATGCTTTTGGCGAGCTCTCTGTTAATTAATAGCTTTTTGAAGTACTGAATTTCTCAGTTTTTATCTTAATTAACAGTCTTAATTGACCTTCTGTGATCTCTAGTTTCTCCCGAAAGAATTAAAAAATAGATTTCTAAATTCTTTTCTGCAAACAGATTGACATGCATTTACTTGTCTACAGATCTTCTCTGCCTTCACAAACTTTTTTTTTTCATTTTTATTCTTTTACCACTGAAGTCCCCACTGGAAATTACAGTCCATTGAACCAGAGAGCTAAAATTGATTGTGCACATAAAAAGTCCTGGAACAATTGAACAAAGAAAAGAAGTTCCTGGAGTGATCAGATCAGAACTTCCTGGTGAACTCCAAACACAAGTGACAACAAAATTTTTATCTGATTTGAACTCACCTGGCCTTGATCACTAAGACAATATTTTATGTTCCTCCATTTGCCCCTGATGACAGAAGGAACCGGTTTTTCCTTCATTTGGCCTAAATCAAAGCTTGGTTATAGATGTCAAAGAAGATGAATTTCGGTTGCCAGCCTTTTTATGGGGCATTCTCTATGCCACCTCCTTTATATCAATTTCTTCTGCTTTTTGTGGAGTATTGGAAATTTAAAGCTGAAGAGCCCTGTCTAATTGCTTCTCTTTAAAATTAATTTTTAATTAAAGCTTTATGTATCACACATTACGGTTCTAGCCATCCTAAACACGCCTTTTACCCTTTTCTTCTAAAATATAGAAGGCAAGTCTCTTTTTTTAACATGTTGTGAGAAACTGCAGTCAGTTCTATCTGCTGTAGTTTATGGAAGGCATTACTAAAAATGCAAATTCTATGTTTTGAGACTTGAAACTTTCAAGTTTCCAGTTAATCTTGGAGCTTACTTTTATATTCTGGGATTAAATAATGACATTTTAAGCATTTAAACCTTCGCTAAGAGCAAGATAAGCAAGCATATACTTCGTTTCAAGCATCTTCACTAAGTTGATTCCACTGGTCTTTTCATGTGTTTAATGTTAGGCATTTGCCTATGTACTTTTCTGAAATGCTGGATGGTATTTAGCAGAGTGAATTACAACCAATAATTGACATTTCTCTAAGAATCCTAATAAAGTAGGAAGTATGCAAAATAAGCTTTCATTTTTAAGATAAACAAAGTAACTTTTTGTGAGCATTGCCTTTTTATTGCTGCACCCTGCTGTAAATCATGTCTTGAAAGCAAAGCCATCTTTTAAAATGCATTTCTTGAAAAATAGTGCATTATTTTCTCCTGAGCTGTTGAGACAATTTCCTGCCTGGATTTGGTGCCCCATTAATTTTAGACTATTAAAAAAAAAGTCACAGTGAGCAATAGGAAACAATTTTGGGTTTGTTGCACACACATATATCACAATAGATCTGCCTGTTGTAGTTCTAGAGATGATGTTTAACCAAATCCTGTTTTCCCTCTTTTGGGATTAATGTCGTCCTTCCCTCAGATTTGTACAGTAACACAGCCTTATGTTACACATGAATGGAGGATTTTTTTTCTTTTCAGTGTGTAAAATTTGAAATTTGAATGCAATTACAGTAACAAGAGGAAGTCTTTTCTAATGAGCCTCAAAAATCCCTGGCCAAAAAGCATGTAAAACTCTCCTGTAGAGAGAGAAATTGAGTGCACAGTGTTAGCATAATAGCAAGGGCTGAGACATTGCTTTGCACTACAGTTTTATGGGATGATATTTTAAAAGGTATTCAGAGATTTATGGCTTTTTAGGGACAGCTAAAATTGTTTTCACATTTCTAATACTGCTTTCATTAGACTTTTGAAAGTATGTTTATGGTATCAGATTGAATTCTAAGGTGTTACCAAATCATCCAGAATCCCCACTGCTCAAGTATATTCCCTTGTATCCCTGTGTGTCTTTAGAGGAAAAAATGGGATGAATGTAAGTGCTTTGTTTTAAAGTATATAATCTGTATTCCGTCATGTACTTCATCTCCCAGGAAAGGTACCTGGGAACTCACTCTGCTGTTTTTATTTATCCTGCCAGTGCAGTATATAGATGAGAGGACTAAGGTCCGATGGTGTTAAAACAGGACATGAAATATTGATTAATTCTTTTTTAAAATTCCTTTTTCCTCCTGAGTATAGCAAATTTCAGATGCTACTGTCAATACAGTGCTCTCCAATAAACCTCCATTATTGGAAGGGTCCTGATCTTCGTCGTGTTCTTATAAATGGTTATTATGATTCTAAAAGGCTTTAAAAGCTCAAGGCTGGTGCTTTCCTGGTGCAGGAGCAGAAAGCAAGTCCAAAGCAGTGCAGCCTTTTATCATGGCAGAAAGTTACTCTGATATAATGTGGATTGGGTTGGGAATTCTCTTTGCTGGACAGTAGCAGAACATTCTGGTTAAAGACATGAAGATCCTAATGGGGCAGATAAACAGATGTACAGTTTCATGGCTATAAAGGTGTCAAGTAAAGAAGCACAATTATAGTTGGTACCACTTAGGGAAACGTGGGGATTTGACACCCTGCCTTTGGTTCCCACTTGTCAGTCTTCAGTTTAAGTTAACCCTTTGTTTATTGCTTCCAGTATGGTCCTTTACAAAAGCAGCTAAACATATTTAAGTGTTTCCCAGAGCAAAAGGACGTTTTAGAAAAGGTAGGGATAGAAGTTCACACCAGCTCACTGATGTAGGATAACAGACATGAGCAAGGAAAATAATATTTTAACTCCTTTTAGGGTACTCAGCTCTGGGAGTTGAGGTAATGGTTTTTCACTTAAAAAACTGAGGTTTATTTAAACTGAAGCGTACTGGAGATTCTTTAGGAGTGTAAAGCTCTAGGAGTTTTTCTACTATCAATAATTAAAGGTATTCATCAGAGATGGAATTTGAATCTCAGACCTGTATGTATCAGGCATTATAAAGGTTGTACAACTACTTTTTCACCCATCGTCTTAATTAGTCTTTGGTTCAACTTGAGCAAGGAAGTAACACAGAATCTGAGCCAAAAGCCATTGACTGGCATATTTACCTGGGAGGCAGGAGACCACAGCACGTTCTTGCTCTGAACCAGGAAGAAACACCTGAGGTTGGTTCATCTTTCTCACAGGAACCTTGGGGTTTATAGGCTGGATAAGTTGCTGTAGGATTTTTTTCCCCCCGCATCAAAGTTTTATTCCTACCCCAAGATGAAAATGTTTTCAGAAGATTTTGTTGGCGGGAATAACTGATTAGCACGTAGGTCTGCTTGGGAGTTCTTTGGCAGCAAAATTTAATGGTGTGCAAACCTTAGGCTACTTTAATTTACGGTGCAGAACAGACTGGTCCCTGCCATGCCCAAAGGCTGAGGGCTTACAGTTGTGGCAAAAAGCTGATACATCCCCTCCTCTCACTCACACCCAGCCTCCATTAAGATGGTACTCTATTAAGATGGTTTTCATGATATCTTTCTTTGGAAATTGGCAAGTTTTTTATAATTTTAAGATAATTATGTCCGTTGATTTGAGTCAAACTGAAAGCAATACATGCACAAAGCTGGACTTTAGCCAATTTGTAAGCAGTGAGAGCTAAGTGTGTTCTTACTATTCATGAGGTTTTAAAGCAGTGAGTCTTGCATTCCCAGGTAATATGGGTGACTCTTTGACTCCCAGTAATTGGTAACATTTGCTTGAGTAGAGCAAACAGGATTTGGGTTGTGATTAACAGTGCTCACACAGCCAGTCTGTGAGCCAAAACCTTACACATGTAATTTTTCTCACTTATGCAGGTAATACTTTTGGACTGATTTAACATAAAGAGTTATTTGAGCCAAGACTGTCAATCTGGGCACTATCCTCTTGTGTTTTGCTCTTTGATATGTTATCTTAAAGAATGACAACACAAACTTATGTAAAGGGGTGTGCACAGAATTTTGGTTTTCAAAACCTTGTATTAGATGGTTTTCTATCAAAATATCCATGAAAGTTTCATTACTGTGTGAATTGTCAAGTTGAGGATAGCCCAGTGCAGATTAAGATTTTGCTTGCAGAAGAGGATGGTGCGTACCCACATCCACACAGCACAAATTCTGACAGTAGTTTGTATTTTGGTGAACTTTATCTCATTTTACAAACCCTACTCGTTGCTGTCTTTCAGATGTGAAAATAAATTATTTTTTTGTCTTGTGGGAGATGCATCGTTTGACTTCAGATATTTAACATGGTATTTTTTCCGTGGACAATAGCTTGAGGCCCCAAGCTGGGAAGAATGAGAGCATATCTATAAATAATTCAAAGTAATTGTATGGTTTTGACAGATTGTCAAGTTGCTTAATGCCTTTTGTCCCAGGCAATAGATTATATTGCTTTGATAAAGTGTTGATAATTTCTCATTGCAATTTGTTTTGTGTATGTTGTATTTTCACAGAGTCCAGTCAGGTTCATATCTCAGTACGGGTTGGTTTACCTTAATTTTGGCTATGGATGCCTGCTATGGAATTCACGTCTATGGGATGATAAATGACACCTACTGCAAGTAAGATCACAGGAAATTATTTTCATGCATCTACAATTCTGATGTCTTGTCAAAATTTCACAATTGATCTTAATATCATAAATCCAAAAAATGGATCAGGCAGTCATTTCCCAGTGTTTTGCATTGATGTGACACTATTGTCAGCATATTCACTCCTGATATGGCATTTGCTGTTGGTAAAATAAAAACATTTACAAAATCTAACATCAGATGTCACGAGGAACTATTTTTAATCAAAGATCTTTCGCAGTTTCTGAATTAGCTGGAAACAAAGTATGCTCATACTCTTGTGATAAAAATGTACTTGCTTCCCCTGCTAAAACAAATCTATAGAGGCAAAACTAATATATTATTTTCTGAATACCAAATACACCTGGAAGTGAAAAAAACTGATTAGCCCAGGATAGTTACCTGAAATTACATTTCACCACCATTGAGCAACCTACTTGAACTTTCTAGGTTATATATGGCTTGTTTTGAGTAGTAGAGGTTTCTAATTAGATAATAAAACAAGTCCTGTGAGCTTTATCACCATAAAGCAACATAAATTCCAGCCAGCTCCCGTTAGTGACCTTACAGTGACAATGGATTAATCACCTCATCAGAAATGTAACTCTAAACACAATTTTTAAAAGTCCAAGTTAAACACTTTCGTCTACAGCGTATGGTAGAAAAATATAAAATGAAACTATTCCTCATTTGTTCAGTAAAGCAGGAATAATGGGTGATACTAGTATGTACACATCTCTTCTTCTGTACCCAAGCTGGTTCAAGTCTGGCATGTAACCAGTCCAGTGGGTCCTCAGCTCCTCAAGTCAAGTCTTTGTGCAGATCTTCACTCCACACTCTGTGTTACTCCAGTGGGAGGCTCATTCCTGGCAGACCCTAAAACAGACAAACAAACAAACAATGGAATTTGAGTCACAGCTGTTTAATTAGGATATCTTAACATTAGAGACTGGCTTTTTAGAACTCGCAGATCTCACTGATGGAGTCATCCAGATGGAGTGAACATATGTTGTTCTTTGTTTATGAAAACGCAGTAGACGCCCCGAGATGAGGGGTGACAGGACTGGGGTTGTCCTCAGAGCCAAGCCAGGCTGGCATTGCATAGCCCTGATGTAAAACCAGTCAACAGCATGATAGCACTTAAGTCTGTTGGCAGCAGGGAAGGATGGCTTTCCTTAAAGCTGAAATTCTGACTGCATTACCTACTTGTAATGGATTATGCAGCCAGTTGGAGAACCAGTTTCAACAGCTGGGACTATCCAATGAGAAGACTTTGCTTAGGTATGGAGACTTGTGGACTGAGTTCTCACAGGTTAAACAAAATGTGCAGTACCCATAAGAGCCAGCTCATCAGCTTCTTACTGACTGTTGAGATCAGTGCATGCTGAGAGACACACTGAGCTACATTTTCCATAGGAAAATTCATAGAAATCATGATGTAATGAAAGCCCTTACACAGTTTAGCAAAGGAGCTCAAGTGCTGATGCATGGGAAGGATTTCAGGTAATTCATAGAATCACAGAATCATTTAAGCTGGAAGATACCTTTAGGATCATGGAGTCCAATTGTTAACCCAGCACTGCCACGTCCAGCACTAAACCACGCCCCAAGTGCCACATCTGCATGTCTTTTAAGTACCTCCAGGTATGAGGAGCCAACCAGTGCCCTGGGAACCTCTTCCAGCACTTGACAACCTTTTTGGTGAAGAAAATATGAGGCCATTTCCTCTTGTCTTGTTACTTGGGAGAAGAGACCAACCTCCACCTTGCTACAGTCTCCTGTCAGGTAGTTGTAGGAAGTGATAAGGTCACTCCTGAGCCTCTTTTTCTCCAGGCTGAGGACCCCCAGCTCCCTCAGCTGCTCCTTGAAAAATTCATGCTCCAGACCCTGCCCCAGCTCTGTCGCCCTTCTCTGACCAAGCTCCAGCACCTCAATGTCTTTCTTGTAGTGAGGGGCCCAGAACTGAACATAGGATTCCAGGTGTGGCCTCACCAGCACCAAGTGCAGGGAGACCATCACTTCCCTTGTCCTGTTGGCCACACTACTGCTCATACAATCCAGGATGTTTGTATCCTGTATTCAGGTGCAGTGTGTATTTATGTATTTCTTGAAAATAATACTTAAGTATATCTTTTTTTTTTCCCCTAGGTCAGACGGCTTTCGTAAAGTTCCCTACCACTATTACGAGCCAGGAAGAGATGAGTGCGAGGAATACTTTCTCCATGAAAACGCTCCATATGGAGGCCATAGGTTTATCACGGAAAAGAAGGTGTTTGCTAAGTGGGCCAAGAAGCAAACAATAATATTTACACATCCCAACTGGACAGTGTCTTGATACTGGTTTTCTTAACTCTCCCTTAACAGCATATTACAAAAATGTCTCAGTTTACAATAGTTTTGCTTACATCTGGCTGGCCTTTCTCAGCCTGGGCAACACTAAACTAAAAACCAGAAGGCAAAGAGGGTGATGGTTCAGCTGCTAAGCAAAATTAATCATCTGTGGAAGGTAGACACATTGTTTGTTACTTCTTAGGGTTTTACTCCACACTATGCACTTTATACTTTAACTGGATTTTACTTCAAGGCAGGAGCAGTTAAACACAGAGGAGATTTCCTCTATATACAGGTGCACACAGAGAACATGGTGATCCTTTGAAACTTGTCCATCATCTCAGATATTTAAAATTAGTATGTATAGCTCATTGACAGTACTGCAGCACTAGTTTCCTTTCTGGTATTAGCAGAAATTTTCAACAAGAGAAATATGAGGAAAAAATATAGACCTCCAAGGTCCATAAGTCAGTAAATTAAAATAAAAAACAAACCAAAATCAGCTGAATGCATTGATACATGTGAGCACTTGCATATATGGTAAAATTAGAGATGAGCTAAACATGGTTCTTGAACTGCTCACAACTCTTGCATGAGAAGATGCTGCTTGCTCAAGGCTCCTGATTAATTCATAAGTTCTGAAATGCAGCTTCCTTCTGCCTTGGTCAGGCTGCACCATCTGGGACAATGCAGTTTGTGATTTTTGAAGCCATTGTCCCTCTGTTTAGCTCCAGCAGCATGGCACTCAGAAAAGACTGTGTTTTGCAGCCCACGGTGAACCTTTGGCTGTTGTACCAAGTCTGCTGTCAGTATCCAAACCCATGAGTGAAAAGTTGTCTCATGAATATCTCCATTTACTCTAGTTGTGCCTTTGAGTTGCTCCAACATCCAAATAACAGTATTTTGACAGTATTTCCCATGCAGCCATCATAATTTATTTTAGATCTCCAGTTTCTCCAGCTTTAAAAACAGGGATAGTGTCTATCTACCTCACAAGGGAGTTGTGAGGACTAATTTAATTTAATTTAAAGCACTTTCCTGATGAAGAATGCTACAGATCATTTATTCTTAACACAAAAACAATGGTACCTGTCATTTATTCTTGTCTGTTGGGTATTTGAAGAAAGTGACAGCATGTCTGGATCTGATGGCGAATTGTTCTGTGCATCCGCTTTCCTACTGAGGATAATTTGTAATACTGAGTTGTCTCAGCTTGCATTGCTTCAGATGAAGTTGAAAGAACTCCCCACCTCACAGCATTAGCTGCACATCAAGAGGCAGTTCAAGAATTTTAAAATATACTCATCTCTAATTTAAATATGTATTTCCAAACTTACTGTCATGGAAAGTTTTCAGCTGCAGCAAACTCAATTGTAATATGACCATAATTCAACTACACATGTGAGTTTTATTTAAACTGTATTTAAACTAATGCTTTAAGTTTAGAATGTGTCCTATGAATATTTGAACATCTGGAATGTCAGATTCAACACTGTAATAGCCAATACTGTGAACACTTGAAGGAATTACGTGTGGAACATGTCACACAGGGTTTACTCACACTACTTAAACATTAACCAACAGGAAACTTTGTATGCTTTTGTAAATCATGAAAAGGGGAAAGTAAAATAGCTATTTTTACATGTAAGTATTTGTATACTGACTATTTCCTATTGTATATTTGTATATATAAATCTATATTTTATATGTTCATCGCATATATATTCTGTCATCAACAGCTGCAACTCTTAGAATGGGGAGGAAATCTCTTCACCACTGTTCCTCCTCCTGACTGTTGGTTTCTTGTTCCTGTTGGTACGTGATGCCAGGGTATCATCTCTGTCACCCCTTCTGTTTTCTACTCTAAATGCAGCTTTCTGGTTTTATTTTTTAATATAGCTCAGCTTTCACTGTTTACTTTAGTACTCCAAGTATTCATGGTGGTTGTCAGACAGAGGCTGGGGCCACGCTTATGATCCTGGATAAACATCTATATTTAAATACAGGCTTTGTCCCAGACTTCTTGCATGACTTGATGTCTCACCTTCATGTTTGGAAAAGGAGAACCATAGTATTTTCCTGCTCCCTTTCTTGTGTGACTTTCTTGTAAGCTGTTGAGATGAATATTCCCATTTTCAATTTATTTGTATAATGCCTTGCAGGAGAGGTACCCAAAATATCTGAAAACTACAGGCAATGCTATAATATGCAGATAATTTGAAGTGGCTGCTGGTTGTCTGTGGAGTCAAAGATCAGTTGTAAGCTAATATAACATGGGATGAAATCAAAAGGGGAAAGGGCCAGGGATGGATAAAGAGTTGTAGTAGCAAAAGCCAGTGGTCTAAATCTCTCACCACATGCATATGCATCTTTTCAGTTCAGATGGATGGCTGGATATATGGAAAGCTAATAAAATAGTTGTAATGCAGGATTTGAAGAATGCAGGACATGCAGAACTAGGGAGAATGTTCCACACATATTGTACAGGACAGCCTGAGAAATTCTATAGCTTCCTTGAGGGAAGAGGAGCTGAAAAGGAGAATATCAGTCAAATTAAATTTGTGTTTAGAAGGTCTTTGAGTTAATAGAAAACTGCTATGAAAGTGCTGCCCATGGATGTGTGGTTGGGCTGGACAGACTTACATGGAAGTGTCTTCATGACTGTTTCTCCTGAATGAGCATCAGGATTTTGCCTCATTTGTGTTCATGTGCAAGGTGTTTTTTTTAAGCCTGAGAAAGTTTTTCAGATAATTAACACTTGCCAATTCACCGTAAAACTGTTGTAAGATATGTGCTTTGTCCCAAAGCTCCTTGAAGAGTGCTTGCATGCTGCATGAAACAATATCACAAAGGCTAGCTAAGAAAAATACAGCTCTAAGAGCAGCTAAATGTACACATAATGGAGAACACCATTAGAGTGCAGTTGTCACAGAGCAAAGTAAAATATTGCTCTCTGCCTGGATTTGCACTAAGAGCAGATCCCCTTTAGAAACGTGGTAGCAGGCTTCATTCACATGAGAGTGAATGAACATCACTTCCCTTATTTAAATGAAGCTGTCTTTAGCATAAACTAAATGCATATTTACATTAGTTTTATTATATGAGTAAGGAACTGTGACCACAGTGTTAAAGATGATTCTGCAAAGAAATTACTTGGTCAAAATCTGTTAAAAATCTGTGGTACTGAAGAAAATCTCGGTACTTGGCTGTGTAGTGAGGGACCTTGATGATTCACCTTCTGAGAGCAGTTAAGACATCAGCTGAGAATCATTTATTAATTCTTTAAGATAAAACCTACTACAGTTTACCTGAATGTAATCAGATCCTAATTGCTTATTCATTCAAGCAGCCCTGTTTTAATCAACTACTCATGTGTATAAAACAAGAAGGGAGTTTACCTGAGGTTTTCAAAATGCATCTTCACGTTGCTGCTAATAGGGGAATACTTACAAATAGTTTGGCCTTTTTTGGCCATCAGTCAGCTAAGTAGTCAACAAATGTTTTCTTTTACAATTTAGGGGAATTTAGTACACTTTTGGGAAAAAAAAAAAAAAGCATTTATTGTTTGGTTTGCTGTAGGTTTGGTTTTAACATTTGGTTTGGACATTTAAATTTTAATATACTTCATGTTTTATGTGGCATTATCTTCTGATTGATTTTTTTCAAAGTAAAAACTTTTAAATAGGAGCAGAAATTTGCATAAGAAAAAAATATCTTTTTGGCTGGCTAATTACTAATTCAAGGGTAATTAGTGACAGAACCCAAGGGAATGGCCTGAAGCTGTGTCCAGGGAGGTTTAGGCATTGGACCAGGCTCCCCAGGGCAGTGGTCACAGCACCAAGCTGTGAAGCTCAAGAAGCATTTGGATGATACTCTCAGGCACATGGTGTGACTCTTGAGGATGGGCCTGTGCAGGGCTAAGGGTTGGACTCAGTGATCCTTGTGGATCCCTTCCAACTCAGCATATTCTGGAATTTTGTGAACATAAAAAAACTTTTCTTTCCAAACTGCCACGACAAGCTTTTCATCCCCATTAGATGTCCAGATCACATTCTTCTGCTTCTAGCGAGGCCTCTTCTCGGAAAGCAAAAAATTAGTCTATGTATCCAGCCAAATTCCCTTTCCATCTGGGCTGGGAGGCTCCATCTGCAGACTGCTCCTATCAGTTACATCAGTAAGTGGGAAGGACTGATGAAGAGTTCTACTTAGGAGCAGATGGTGTTCCAACTACTAAAAAGTGCCCCTAAAGTGCTTCAGGCGAGGAGTACCCATTGATCTTTCCTGGAAATACTTTACTAAAGTATTGGGTTTCTTCAAATGCCTTCAGCTCCTCTGTAGAATAATTGTCCTACTCTCTCCAGTAGGAGTTATCAGCAATGGGGAAGCATGCCCTTTACAGGAAGAAACAGAGGCAAATTCGGTGTTGTTAAATATTTCTGTATAAACAACACCAGGGATGAAGGTGTCAGCCTGACACAAATTATCTGAACTCTCACTGATTTAGGAATCTCTGAGGACTCCTTTCATAACTAATGGAAATCACTTTGGCAAGTTCATGAATATAGCACCTATCCCATTAAAATCTCTGCACTCCTGGGTACTAAGGTAAGCAGTGTTTTGTCTGAGAAGTACCACGTGCACATAATGCATAGCAGAGTTACTAAAGAGAAGCCCATCCAACACTTGGAGGGCTGATGCTGATGGTCTTTCTTTATTCACCTGCTCATGGGCTGGACAGAAGTAGGACCCCACACAAAGATAGTGGCAGCAGAGCACAGGTACCCAACCAGAAGACATGTCCAGGTAAGTAAGAATTAAATAAATAATCCCTCATGAATTATAACTGGATGGTGCCCTTAATAAGTAAAAAATCAGAAGCACTTTACATATTGATGTTTATAATTTGCTGGCATTCTTTTCTGCATGTATTCAGAAATAGTGTGTTGTTAGTTGTGCTCAAGCAAGCCTGGGGTTTGTGGATGATGAACCTTAGGGTACCCACAAGAGTGAAACTGTGTTAGTGCCAAAGGATCATACAGGAGCTGTCTGTGGGTGTTAGGATGTCCTGTGTACAGCAGTCATGTATTTACTGAAAAAAGACCTATGTTTCCTGGCCAAGGGTAGTTCTTATAAGGAGGAAGTGTTTCATTTTCAGCAGATGTGTCTCATTCTGCTCCTTCTTTCCTGAGAGGGTGCACAGAATGGGTCTTAACCGTAGGGGAGTGAAGAATGGTATGTTAAATAGCCAGCCACTGCATTCATATATGTTTTTCTGGCTATTTCTGTGATGTATAGCTAAAGACAGAGAAACCTTGTATAGCGTAAGCTACAGAAGCCTCATGTCTGTTCTGGATTAGAGTCTTATAGGCAAACTCTCTAAAAGGGCCTGAAGGAGGAAGAAAAGGTCTCTCTCCATTGAAAGACAGGGTTTCTGTGGAAGCCATAATAATGTGGGAGGCACAGCTGGGCCTCCTCCCTCAGCTTTTGTAGGTCCCCACCCAGCCAAAGATTTGGGCCCTTTCCAGCCCCATTGGAGAAGAGCATTCTCCAGCTGACTGATACAACCTGTGAGCTGCACAAAGTCCTCCCTGTCTTCCCCTTCTGTGGGGCCAGAGGAGTGGTGAATGTGACCTGGGGGATGAGGAGTGCTGGGTGTCAGAGCAGGGATGTTCTTTCCAGTCAGCAGCGTGGTTTGCTTGGAGCACAGTCTCACCTCACATGCTGAACTCAGTTCCTTTGAATGTGGCAGGAAAGATATCACTGGACTTTGTTATTGTTTGTGTGATTAATTCACGAAGAGTCACTATTTTATGGGTGTCTTAAACAGCTGATTTCATGTCTTTTTTTGATTGCTTGCTGCTATTTCTGGGAATTCCTCAAGATATGCAGCTATCAGCATCTGCCACTGCTGTTCTGATTTACTGGCCATAAAAAGACTGTGAACTTGAACTAATGCATGTTCTTGTCATGTATTATGCATGATAGCATGTTACACATTTTATTCTCCGATATAATAAATAATGTAAGTTTTATGTAAACTTAGTTCAGGCAGGGGAAGTAGTGCTTTTTCTTTCTCTCATATCATGTGTTGCCCAGAGCACTTTGCTGGAGCCTTGTAAGTGCCATTAGCAGCTGGCAGCAAATAAATTGTTGAAACCAGTTGGGAAATATTTACTAAATTTGACATTTTTCACTGGAATATCAGAAATATTCCAACTTGCTTTTGTGAACCTACCCCGGTACTCACAGTCACAATTTTGTGTTCTGCTCTAAAGAAATCTCTCATCAGAGTGTAGCACCAGGAACGACTTTATTGACACAGATAATGTCAGGATGTTGGCGGGGCAATGATCCCAAAGTTTTTACATTTATGGGAGTATCTTTTTAACGGGAATTGAACATGTAGAAGATTGGCTAAGATGTCTGCAGATTTTTTCATATTGTGGCTGCTGAAAATAGTATTTCTGGGGATGGTCAGTGAAAAAAGAGATTGTGTGCTCTTTGCCCTTTTGACTGAGCATCTGTCCCCTCCTCATACTCAGGCACATGCACACACATGTGCAAACACTGTGTGTGTCTATATGGGAAGGTCCTTTTTTTCCAGGTAGTGGCAAGAAAGAACAACTAAGACCAATTTACATGGTAAATACAGGTTATAATACTTGTTGATTCGTGTTTATTCTGTGTATTTCCAAAGCCTGTGTCTGTGTTAGCAAAGAATTAGCTCAGCTGGATTGGATCTGTAGCCTGAAACTGTTGGTGCCAAGGACCTGATGTCCACACTGTGCTCAGTCCCTGGTTTGGTCCCATGGGCTGAATGCCACTAGTGATTGGAGCACATCTTTTGGTTCCATCCAAAAGGAATCTGGTTCACATCCTCAGGAACACTCCATCACACAAACTAAAGCTCTTTTATTGAGGCCACTGTACTGGGTTGTCCCACGTGAAAGTGAAATTCCTGCTAGACCACCTTTTGGCTCAAGCTTTGCATGGTTGTTTTTTCTTTTCATGGGTACTTTTCTTTCAAATCTGAGATCTGATTCCTCCTGTCAGATCGTGGCAATCAAGGGCTCCTGACTCTTCCTAAAATTACCATCCAAATGTGCTCCATAAGTCAGGAGTGTGATGTAGGACAAAGTGATCCAGCATTGGTACAGCTTGGAAAGTGCTTTGTTTGATGAAGAGTTAATGTGATTCTGCTTGTGGATGTAATTTTATCCTCAACATGCTGGGTGCTTGCTAATGCATGCATTGTTTTTATGTAGTGCAGGACACATAAAAATTCCCTTCATCATTTTCCCAGGGTATTTTTGTTCTTGTGGCCTTCCAGTTGTACCTGTGTATACATGCATGTGTGCATATATATACAGTGCACAAGCATTCTTCTGTTCTTAGGTAGTTCCTACTATATGCTGTTAACATAAACTTATTTAAGCAGTTCATGTTACACTATTTATTACATGTATTCTTTGGTTGCCTTTTCATAATGCTGACAAGTGTATTGGTAGCAGATATCCCTGTAGACCTAGAAAACTTTCATACTATTTATACTTATTTTAGATGTTCTGCCATGTGTTTTTTCTTGCTGTATGTTACTTAGTTTTTGCTCTCATTTGGAGAATGTGCTTCTATGTATTTGCAAAATTGTGCCTGGGTAATTTTAAAACATGAATAAATGTATATGGTTTTCCAATTGTCTGACATAATTTATGCATGATTTTGTGCAAAACACTTTTATTCTTGTTTATGTATATGCCACTGTAATAATACCTGACAGTTCACTGAACTCAAGGAAACAAAGATCTCTGTTCTCAAAAGTAATTTAAATCAGCTGCACACACTTTAAAGACATTTTAAGGCATCTGTCCTAAACATATTCAGTAATGTAAACTCAGCCACAAAACCTACACTTAGAATAACTCATGATTTTATTTCTGTGTGTTCAAACATGTTGCATGCACAAAATGCACACAGGAATGGAAGTATGTGGAAAAGGTCCACTGGATCCTATCCATAAAGGGTACATCCTTCAGGCAGTGTCTCAGAACATAGCAGTGTCAGAGGTCAGGTCACTGAAAGCCCTGGGAGTGGACATTCAGCACGTACTTGAGAGAGCCCTGCAAGACTGAAGGGCTGTGGGAGAGATCACCTTTCATGCAAAGGTGTGAACCTCTGCTTGCAGCTCCAACGTTGACAAGAGTGTGAGGAGGACCTTTTTTTCCATCATACAGTGAACCCCGTGGTGCTGAGGGAGGAAAGGAGCTGGAATTTATTCAGCCTCTAACTAGTCTCTAACTTTCCTGTTTTATTGCCCAGCCAGGAACGTGATTAACAAGCAACAGGCTTTGATCTGTAAATTTTGACTTGGTCTGTATGTCCTGGAGTAACCACATACAGACTAACCTGGAGGTTCTGGGTGTGTTTGTCAGCACTGCCATATATTATATATAATACAGCACCTGTTACCGACTACTTTTGGGCCAGATTCTGGTACGCAGCACTTAGAACGAGGCTATTTTGTCAGCCACCACAATGAG